GTCTTCAGCTTCCACGTGGTGAGGTACTGATTTGGTGATAGTGATGACAAGGAGTAATGCTTTGCATTTTCACTTAGAGACCTCCAGGAGCAAGAAACAAATATTTGCCACCTTCACAGGTGAGAGGAGGGAGGTGAAGCGGTACAGGGAAGGCTGTGCTGATTGCCAACCGACTGAGCCCCCGTCCCTTCTTCCCTTCCGAATCATCTCACGAGTCTTGCCTTGGCGAATGGTCCTGGAGCTGCTTATATTTTAAATCCAGCCAAAGTCTGCTGGAGTAGGAAAATGATGCGCTTTATGTAAACGATGTGGGCAAATTATTATTCAATTTTTGACGGGGTTTCCTGTGCACGGTGTAATATGGTTAATTTACCAGGAAGCACTGCTATTCACTCCCTAATTCTCCAGATAAATGCTGTCCTTTACTTACCATTTTCTCACTCTCTGGAACCTGCTTCATTTGGGTGGGTGTGGGTTTCTCAGTGATCCCTGGTGATAGGCTTCCCTCCTGGTATCTTTCAGCTCTTACCCATAGGGAGCAGTCTTAAAAATTGAAAGGATTTATGTACCTGGATTAAGTATATGAGCCTTTTTGTAAACACATACCAAAAAGAAAAAAAAAAAAGATAAAATCTCTTGTGATATTTCCCCATAGTATTACTTGTATGCTTTTCATTAAAAACACTATCTGAATAATACCCTTTTCATTCTCTCTTGCTTCCAATTAGCTACCCATTGATTGTCTCGTACCTAGCAGTTGATAATTAACCAAAGGAAAAACATGCAGAACAAAACAACCAGAATCCTTTGCAACTGCCAGCACCTTCCTTCCTTCCTAACTTTGCAGAAAACACCAAGCTGCGAACAGAAAGCTTCAGTTAGGACCTGGAAAGAACAGAGAATGGCAAGGGACTCAGGGATGGCAGACAGCCCCTTACATAATGTTATTAAAGAGGAGTTATCACAGCTTCTTTCCCAGCATCCCTTGGATTCTGCTAGTCTAGAAATGCATTTCAAGCTACATCCCAGCTGGGCCACTGGAGCCAACAGTCTGCCCGAGCCTCCTTCACTGTCCTTGGATGGTCTGATCTGCCACCCTCTCCATTTAGCAGGCTACTAATCAGAATAAATGATGTGCCCGTATATGTCATTTTAATGTATGCATGAGACACAAGAGAGAAAGAGAGAGAGAAGCAAACACAGCAGAGCACACACACATACACACAGGTGTGCGGTTTTGTGCGTTTTGTTTTTTCTTCATTTAACCCTGTTTGCTAATCACCTTCTGTATTAAAAGCAGGAAGTAGTTCCTAATAAGGGCTGGAAATCAGAAGGAAGCCCATTCAAAGGCATGAGACACTGTGGCCCACTTTTGAGCACTATACAACCCTACCTCTATTTGTCTTTCAGGCCAGGTTCCAGCATCCCGGAGTCACTTCTTTCCTGGACTGGCCCATGCTGAGCCAGGTGTCACTGGTTATTAACACCTGTCCTGCCATCTAGTAAGGGAGCTCCTACAGCCATTCGTGTGGATCTGCCATCCTCCCTGGACTGCAGATAGCATCTCCCATTGAATTTCAAGCACTAAGTGTAATATTAAGCACAAACAAGTGCCTCCAGCAGGAATGAATGCTGAGTCCTTATTCACATCCACGGTCATAGGCACCTCTAACCATTGCTTTGATCAGCCTTGCCAGGGACTCCTCTCACTCCAGCTTGGGTTTCCTCCTCCTTGTCCAATGTTGTGTCCTTTCTGCTCCCACTTGATGCATCCTGGTTCAGCAGGTTACCTAATCAGATCTTCCTTAACTTTCAGGTGGCTCTTCTTTCTTCCTACCATCAAATTCCCTAATCTGTATTACTGTCAGTGAAGAGGTTGTTGTTTGTTGGGGTGAAAATGGAAATCAGATAAGAGACTCCCTATGTCGTCCCTCCCCTGTTCAATACTGACTCCTTGGTATTAATGTTTTATGGGCAGCAACTCCTCGCATTACCTTTCATATGGGGTGCGGAAGCTCCGAGTCAGGCGGAGACATGCCAGGGAAGCCACTAGCCACGGGCTGGGAAAAGTTGCAAAATTTGATGGTCTGGGAAAAGAGCCTGCTGTGAAGACAAAGCTGGGGGTCTTGCTTAGGGAGTGGAATATCAAATCACAACGTGAAACCTCCAAGGTGATGCATGTATCACCACGGTGCTGTTGACTCCATAGAGTCCTCAGGGCTCAAGAGGGGCTAGTTGACCCCTGCGGGTTTGGGGATGGCTGTCTGGAGAAAGGCTTGGAAAGCACCAACAGTGTTCACTTCAGGCTATGGATCAGGCCTTCAGATCCTGTCTTGAACATATCATACATTCACAACAGGCAGGTCACACATAGAAAAACCCAGATGCATAGTCCGTTCTCAGGGAAGAGCTTGGTTTGAAGGTGCCTTCTTCAAATGACTGAATGGGGGCATCGCAACAGCTGCTAGGAACTCATCCTTGGCCTGGGTGCAGGGCGAACAATCCCAAGTCTGTTCTCAAAGGTGCTCTCTCTCTGGCAGGGAAAACACAGTCGAAGAAGAGTAGGGTTGTGACACGCCCAGCTGGTGCATAGCCCCTGGTGAGAAGAATGGGCCAGCATCCTGGAGAGGAACATTCTGCTGGGGGAACATTCACTTACCACAGAAAACATTCTCAGTAAGATAGCTCCTGCCACTCTGGGAAACCAGTTATACCTACTTTTAGACCTCAGGGTAAAAATTTTAAAACAAACATGTTTGTCTCCTTTGGTGAGATTCTGAATATTTTTTGTGCTGGGATAGAGTGAGGTATGATTTGGAACTCACTGTGAACATTTCCTGGGAACCTAAGTTGAGAGGGCGGAGGCTGTGGTGTAGGAGTATGGTGGATTAAGCCACCACCTGTGGCCTGCAGTGTGTGCACTGGTTTGCTTGTTCTGCTTCTGATCCAATTTCCTGCTAATGTGCTTGGAAAAGCAGCAGAAGAGGGCCCACATGCTTGGCTGCCTGCCACCCACATAGCAGATGGAGTGATCCAGTTCAGGGTCAGACTTCTGGTTTTGGTTTGGCCCAGCCCTGGCCATTAGGGCAATCTGGGGAGTAGATCAGAGAATGGAAGATCCCCTTTCTTTCTCTCTGTAACTCTGCTTTTCAAATACATTAAAAAAAAAATCTTTAAAACAACATTGCACATGAATTATGAAGGTCTACTTGCTATTCCAAAGATATTTAACTGTGTTTTTAAAATTTTTCTCTGTAGTTGTGATCTGAGACTTGAATAAATACAATCACTAATTGCTTTTAGTAATCTATAGCCTACAATACTGCTTTTAAATTGAAATTTAAGCTTTCTAGTTCTCTCCAAATCAAAGCCAATCATTCCTCCTTTTCCTTGTCACTTTTTTTTTCATCTAGCCAAAATATTTTTGGATAGCCTAATTGAGTTCCAACAGGATAATTTGTAGTGGTGAAAAAACTAACAAAGTCACAAAAATCGATTAAAATACTTTTCAGGCACAAATGGACCAAACATAATTTTATTCAAAGGAAACCTGTGAGGTTTTTGTTGTCCTGAGACACCACCGTTTTGCAGTGAGTTTTCATGTAATTCTCTTGTTTGCTGTTGAAAACCTTGCCTTCTTTCTAGGCTCACAAAACAACCTCCAATTAATACACAATCAATCCGGAAGGCCCCCTAGGAAATTGCAGATGAAAGTTTGCAGCTTCACTGCTACTTGAAAAAAACAAAACAAAACAACCACACCTCTGGAGCAAAGGAAGATTAGCCACAGGAGGATTTCTATCTTCCTCGAGGAAGGTGAACACCCCTTGGTGCTGTCAGGAAATCTGGCCATGTGGCTGTGTGTGAGGGATTACTCTGCATCCTTCACTTTCTTATGAAAAGCCATAACTTCCCACATGACTTTCTGTGCCATGACCAGGCCAAAGCCAGATGCACCATCTGCAGGGTCTTGCACCCCAGTGTACTAATACCTGCGATGGCATCTCCTTGGACTCTGCCCAATGGTACATCATGAACGAGGGGGCTGTGGGGAAATGGCTGCAGGTGCTGCAGCGGAAATGGCTAGTCAAAAATCCCTTTGCCAACGTTTACAACATCTGAGCATTGTAGATTGCCTCTTCTGATGTGTGTATTATTGATTTTATTTTAGATTTATTTATTGATTTGAAAGTTAGAGATACAGAGAGAGGGGCAGGGAGCGAGCAAGTGAGTGAATGAGAGAGAAAATGAATAAATCTTCCCATCTGTTGTCTCACTGTTCTAAAGTCAGGCGCCAGGAAGCTTCTTCCAGGTCTTTTGTATGGATATAGGGGCCTAGGGGTTTGGGCCACCTTTCATTGATTTTCCAGGTGCAGAGCAGGGAGAGCTGGATTAGAAGTAGATAGGAAGGTTCTTTCTCCCATAAAGCATTGCCAGATGCCCATGTATCCAGGTGAACCTAGCCACACCCAGTCTCTAGCAGGTTACTGAAGGCAAAAAATACTTCCCCATCACAAGACATTAAAGGTGGACCTTTCTTTCCTAACAAAATAACTTTCTGGAGAGAGACTTCACTTCTTCATCTCAAACTTATACAACTTTTAGGGAGAGAGGTGTCTCAGAGATGCTGAGATACCTGTGAGGTAATGTTCTGTGTACCGGGCCGGCTGACCTCAGGATCTCTGGAGAATAGTGAGCCTCTTGGATGAGGAAACATGACAGCTCTCCGTTTTGTGTTCCAGCTTCTCTCTGTTCTGCAATCCTGCTCCAAGCACTGCAGAGTAGATGCAGCAGGATGCATTTCCTAAGACCGCCCGCAAGTTGACCCAAGATCTAAGGTTTGCTTCATAGAAGAGAATCCACAATGAACTCAACCGATGACTTCAAGGCTATAGTTTGGACTGAAAAGGTTGTTTTTTCCTTAAGAATTTTTGTTCAAAACAGAGGTTATTTTTTCTTTGGATTTTTTTTTTTTGAATGAGTCAAAACATAGACCAAAATCCTTAAGAGGGTATGTGCAAATTACCCAATTTAATAGAAAGTGAAGATTAAAAACAGGGCTATCTTTAAAAACATCTAGAACATGTCCATCAAATTTCACAAGGTTGCTAGTAATGATATGTCATATCATCTTTAAAGTTTTATATATCAATTGAGCACCTGAAACAGAACCATAAAGCTTTGGTTACCAAGAAATATTTCCTTCACCTCCTTACAAAAAAATAAAAAACAAAAACAAAAAACCTAAATGTTGGAAGTGCTAAATGTGAAGGTCATCCCCACATGAAGCCATCCTGCTGCGGGATATGCCATAAAGATGAGCGGTCTTAGAATCACGGGCTCTTAGAGCTACGGGATGATTCTTGCCCATCTCTCATCTCCACAGAGGGGCCAGGAAAGCTCACTGTGCAATAGCAAGCGAGGCAGAGCAGGCTGAGACCATGAGCATGGTCCCCGCTTCCCTCTCACCCACCCTGATGAAGTGGAGGGCCAGAGAGAAATACACATCTCCTGCCAGTGAGACACAGCAAATTCCAGTTAGAGAAAATCTGATGAATGAAAATGTTAGTGTATGCCCCGTCTTGCTTTAACAAACCTCTGAATTAGCTAGACAGCTGCCTAGCCCTGAGATGGTGGGCGAGAAAGGGGCAGTGTGGACTCTCCAGATGTTTGCGCTGCTTCTGTCATTTGGCAATTACACCGTGGAGAGCCACCAGGTGACCCCTTAGCATCTGGAGTGGGGCAGGTGACTCCCAGGACTCCCAGAGTACCTTCTGTGATCTAAACAAATGAATCCAAAAATTGTTCAAATGTAAAATGCTCTTTCTTTAATTACTAAATTAAGAAAGTTAAACAATTTAAAAATGTGAACTCACAAATAAATCGTAACAAAAAAGGAATTAGGCCTCTGGAGTTGCTATTCAGTATTAAAAACTCAATAGAAATAGGAGTTTTGATCCGTTGTTGTGCAACATACGTAATTCAAGGTTGGTACAAACAACGACTGAAAATGTAACACTTGTCCTTGTGCACCCCCAGGAGATGTAAAGCAGTGCATAGTCATTCCATGGGAGAACCTTGGAGGCGGAGAAAGTCGCTGTCAGCCGGGACAGGAGCTTTGTCACGCGCATTTTACAATCGGAAACATACAACCCTCGCCCACCCTCCCCCTTCCCCTTCAGTTTTAGTTGCATGAGAAAGTTTAGCAGGTTGTCTTGACTACAACGCTATGGGTTTTAGACCATTTACATGTGGCTATAAGGTTTATTAAATTAAAAAAAATTCAAAAAACATTTCTGCATTCATTTTTCTTTTAACTGTAAGAAGTCTGTGTGGTTTCCGTCTTCCAGTTCCCTTTGTAGTATTGGCTGTTTGTTGGCTTAAGTTGGCTCACTTTTAAGTTTCCAGAAAAGAAAAATAGTTGCAGTGAGTTGAAGCAAATCCTGGTAGCAGAGCTTACAGATTCAGCCCTGGAGTGTGTCTTGTAAAGAGTCAAAGGAACGTCCATCGACAGGTGCAGTTGGGAAGGAAAAAAAGTACAATCCAGATGGAAAAAACCGTCATGCTTTGAAAAGCCAAAAATGAGACCACCGGTTCTCAGAACGATACCAGTCCTTTTTGATGCTGATTTTGCAGTCAAACCCTCACTGTGGGTCCTAAGCTGCGTGGCCCATGTTGGCCGTGGTCATACATTAGCACCCACATGGTATATATACAGAGACATACATTTTATATATATACACGTATAAGCATTTATATAAAAAAAACCAAACACCTGTCCTGATTGTTTTTTGTTAAAACATGAAAAAAAATTTTATTGTTTTAGACAAAGAGGCCACTTTTGCAAAATAATACCTTTTTTTTTTTAGTTGAATCAGGTGGTGAAGACAGAGTTAAAATCACATAGGATCTGCATTTTAAAAAAAGGAAAGCACTAGGATTGTTGGCACTGGAGTAACTATTTACACTGAACAGAGGTTTGGCCTTTTACATAACATCGATACAATGCATTTTCCCAAGTGTGGGAAATAACAAGGTTCTGTCTCATATGCTTCACGGAGGAGGTTCGGATTTGGGGATAAGTGTCATTAATGAGGGCCATGGACGTTCGTCAGCCTCGGAGTCACATGCAATCTGATGCTGGCCGGTTCTCGCCTCTTGGCTCACGCTCGGGGCAGCTGGCTACGGAACTGAAAGCTAGTGGGGAAGGAGGGACTAGCCTCTGGGACAAAGGTCTTTTCTCTGGGGACACTGTGGCCGGTCAGTCGCTGTCCATGGCGGTGGCCTTAGAGGTTCTCACCAGGCTGATACTGGGGCTCTGTGGCGGTGAAGTAGTCTTCCAGGAAGCTCTGCAAATACTCAAAGGTGGGACGCTCCTCGGGGTCCTTTTTCCAACAGTGGATCATGAGCTCATGCAGAGAGATGGGGCAGTCCTGCGGGCAGGGCATCCGGTAGCCACGCTCCACCTGTTCCAGCACCTCCCGGTTGTTCATGCCTGTAAAGACAGCGGCCACGAGAGTGGGCACCTTCCGGCCGGCTGAGTTGAGCCCTCCCCACTTGTACCCACTGCGCTCCTTTCTTCTACCTGGAACCTGCATGTGCTTAAAGCCCACCTCCTCCGAGGGTTGGGATCCCACCCTTGGCCGGATCCCTTGTCACTGGGAAGGAAGGAACACAGGACTGTGTGCCCAAACCTGTGGGATCAATCTCAAAGTGTGGGCAGTGTGAGAAGCCGGACACTATAGGCAACATGTTGAGTAACTTCATTTATGTAAAAATCTAGAAGGGGCAAAACTGTGGTTGACAGAAAGTGGATCGGTGGCTGCTAGCAAAGTAGGCAGGAAGGCTCCAAGAAGGGGCTGGAAGGAATGCTGAGGGGTGAGGGAGATGTTTTGTATGGGACCAGAAAAATTCTCCTCGTGAAAGGCCTGGGAATAAACATTCGTGACTGTAGGCTGCATACGGTCTCTATTTTTTTTTTCTTTCTTTCTTTCATTTTTTACAACCTTGAAAAGCATACAAAACCAAACCAGGCTGGGAGCCAGACTTGCCTCTGCTGACCCCTGCTCTGCGTGGCACACACGGTGTTGTGATATTTATGCCTGCCCAAGCCCACTGGCCTCTGGCCTTCACACGGTTGTCACTGTTAGTAAAGTGATGCTTTAAAACAGCTGATACAAATATATGAACAAAACAGCCAAAGCTCACCCCATTTCCTGACCCCCAAGCCCCAGGGCTGTGAGCGCAGGCTGCCCCCTTGCTTATAGCAGCACTCGGCTGTTCATGAAGTTTACCAGTCCACTCACTGCCCTATGCTCGGGCAAACTCTTGGAGCCCCACCATCTGTGATGGGAGCTCATGCCAACATGGCTGAGCACCAACTTGGCCTGGTGACTCAATAGTGCGCTGGGGGTGTGGTGACATGATGTGAGGGGAGGCGGGGTGCTTCTTGACCCCCTCAGCCAGTACATGTATAAGGTGCCCCCTCCCTGGCTTTCTGAGGGATCTGAGTGTGCAGCCTCTGCCTGCTGGCCTTCTGAGAGTCCACAGCACATGCCGGGTGAAGTGAGGTGAGGGCCTGGAGCCCTGTCCTACCCCTGTTGCCAGGTGGTACTCTCTCGTTTTTTACCGCCTTTCCACCGTGTCACTTCTGCCAGCTCTTCACCAAGCACTCGCGTGTTCTGGCTGCTCCTTGGCCTCCAGGTTGTAATCTGGAGTTTTTCCCAATTCCTGACTTGGTTGGTTAACAAAAGCCAAGAATCTGCTTCCAAAACACTACAGAAACCTGGAGTCCTTCCCCCACTCAGTTTTATTGCCTCTCAGAGTCCTAACCAGCAGGACAGCATGACATGCTGCAGGTGGCTCTCTCTAGCCTGTGGGAGGTGGCAAGTTGCTGGCTGCAGCCCGGGAGGGTCTGGCCTTAGAGCACATTCTGCCCCCTCCCTAGCCCACCTCTGGCTCAGAGACATTGGGTTTTCCTGGCCATGTCACAAGTTTTCCTTGCTGTGTTGTTATCTTCAGAGCTGGCTGGTTCCAAGCTCCTCCTGGCTGCCAACCACAGAATCGTCAGTCCCCTGGGACCCTGCCAGACACCTTGTTCAGGTGGGTGCTCTAGCAGCTCTGTAACTCATTAGCTGGAAGGCTCAGACGATTGAGAGCATGGGGGGTATGGGAGGAAGCCAGAAGCACCCACAGGAAGGGCATCCAGTTGGAGGCCACAAGCCACCCTTCACTGGCAGTGGCCCACACAGAGGGGGCATGGGACACAGTGTCCTGGCATTTGCCTGCCCTAGTGCTTGAGCCCAGCAAAACTCTGAAAACCAGGGAATTGGTGCAGTTTCCTGGACAGCACAACTGGTCTCCCTGACCTCAGCTGGTGACAGAATCTGACCTGCAGGGAGGCTGCTAGCTGAGAGAGTAGAAACATACTGACTCCACAGACTGCCCTGGGATTGATGTGAGACCTGTCAGGTCCCAGGGCAGGGTGGCAGGGGTAGGGCTGGGGTAAGATTAGGGGTTTGGCCGAGAAGCCTCAGCAAAAATGACAGTGTTGCCGCTTGCCAGCCAGCCCGCAGGAAGGGTCAGGAAGAAAGTGGAGTTACATGTCCCCATTCTCGCTCCCAATATTGTTTAGTCCGGGCCTAGGGTCCCTAAGGTTTCAGGAACCACAGAATCTAATCCTGAAGAAATCCCTCCCATCACTGTCTCTGCTGGGAACCCATAGGAACTGGAGAAAAGACAAGAGTCTTGGAGGTATGACAGGCCCTTCTGCAGGTGGCTACAGCACTTGCCTTCCCTCCCCCATCCCGCCAATGCCTCCTGAAGTTTTAGTCTGGCTCTCAGACGCTCCATCCCTTTTGCTCTGTGCAGCTTATGTCAGTAAATGTCTCAATCTCTCATTCCATTAAAAAAAAAAAAGCTCCAATGGAAAGATTTCATTAAAAAAAGGAAAAAAAAAAAACCCACAACTTTTAACTCAATCTCTGCCAACAGAAACTTTGAAGTGGCCACCAGGGTCAAACCCATTCGCGCAGGACTCAGTGTCAGCTTCACTCACAGCAGATAAGTTCACTGGAATCTCATGAGCACGTTGCAGCCCCCAAAGGCTGCTGCAGCCAGGAACTGCATACTGCAGCCAGCCAGCCGTGGCAGTGGGCTCACATGTCCCCCAGTCCCGGCTCCACCTGTGCTCCTCCCCACTCCCCACCTCGTCCTTTCCCTTCTCATGCTTTCTTCTCCCAGACCTCACAAAGCACCAAGAGGGGAGGGGACACTTATGTAACCAGTTTCCTGCATTGGGGCCAAGTTGAAACATACTAATGACAGCACTGCCAGAAGAACAGGATATCTGACACAGGGCTTGGCTGACAATGACAACTGGAACCGGACTAGCTCTTTTCCAGCGTCCATGTGCCAGAACTCACACAGCTGACCCACGGATCTGCCACCTTCATGGGGGGACCCCCGTGACCACGAAGCTGTGCCAACTCAGCACTGGTCAAACCAGTGTTTATTTTCATGACAATAGCGCAGTAAATGGCTGGTGGTGATATTTAAATATATAGTATTCTCAGTTGCAAGAACTTTGCAAATGGCATTATTTCAAGAATTTCTATTTCAGCCAAATGGATTTTATTCTTCACACTACTCTAAATATGGGCTTGTATAGCTATATCTATATACATATATATTTTAAATGCTATCACACTTCAGTTTAGAAGGAAAACTGTTACTTCCTCTCATTTAGCCACTTTCCCCCAAGATTTTGGCTTTACCTAATAATGAGCAGTGAAGGGAGCCAATGGGAAGGGAATACAAAGGCCATGGAGCTAAGGAAGGTCAGGAGAGAGGGGACAGCTACCCCATTCACTCGATGCCATTCTCATGGGTGAAGAAGAGGGTTTTATCGTGTTTGTTCCTCTTAAATGAATCATTTATTTGCAAGAGTTACAGAGAAACAGTGAGAGACAGAGACAGAGAGATTTTCCTCCTTCTGGTTCACTCTCCAAATGGCTGTAATGGTAACGACTGGACCAGGCAGAAGCCAGGAGCTCAGAGCTTCTCCCAGGTCTCCCATGTGGATGCAGCAATCCAACCCTTGGATCATCTCTGGCTGCTTTCCCAGGCACATTAACAGAGAGTTGGATCAGAAGTGGAGCAGCTTGGACTTGAACTGGTATCCATATGGAATGCCAGTGTCCCAGGCAGTGGCTTAGCTTGCTTTGTCACAGTGCTGGCCCTATTGTGCTTGTAAAGGAGAAAGTGGATAGATGTGGGAAAGGGTACCCAGGGATTTTTGCTTTTTTCTTGGAGATTTCTTTGGGGCTTGGTGTGGGGGCACATCTTAGGGAAATTGCCACAGTTGGATTAACAGGTTTCCTGCAGTGACATCTAACTGTGGGGCTGCCTGGTTTGTAGCCTGAAAGAGGCACAGGGCTAGGCAGCCAGCAAGCACTGACATCCTTGCCCCATTTCCTTTGCCCTCTCCAACCCAGGGGTGAGCAACCTGCCCCTCTGCTCCCTTGCTGGCCTTGGTCAGGGTCATGCCCGTAAGAGTCCAATCCCATGGCCCTCAGCAGTTTAACCTTTCAGTCCCTCCTCCTTCAGATCCTGCCATGGGAGGGTCCTGTTACCTGGATCTTAGGCTTCCAAACACAGGGACCAACTGCTATTTCCAGTGGGTCTAACCCAAACTCTGATGCTGAGTCTTTGATCAAGCGGCCTGTACCCACTTTTAATTTTTATTGGGAAGGCATAACATATTTATGGAGAGAAAAAGAGACAAAGAACTGTCTGCTGGCTCATTCCCCAAATGGCTGTAATGGCCGGAGATGAGCTGGTTGGAAGCCAGGAGCCAGGAGTTTCTTATGGGTCTCGCATGTGGGTGCAGGGTCCCAAGGCTTTGGGTCATCCTTTACTGGTGTCCCAGGACGTAAGCAGGGAGTTTGGTGGGAAGTGGAGCAGCCAGAAAATGAACCAGTGCTCATATGGGTTCCTTGCACTTGCAAGGTTAGGATTTAGCCATTGAGCCATTGTGCCAGACCCTGTTATCACGTGCACTTGTCTGCCTTCTCTCTTTGCTGTCTCCTTCCCTTTGCAGTCTCCCTGCCCCGAATGCTCCCTTTTTCTCTGAGATCCTTTACGGGAGGAAACACAAGTGACTTTGGGTCGGCAGAGCCCTGAGATGCATGTCACTTCTCAGAACTTGGAACTGTGCATTGGTTGTGGGTGACCTGCCTTCCCTGACCTCAGACTGTCAACACACAGCTTTGCCTTTCGCTGTGATATTGGCTGCTCGAGTCACTGTCTTCTGTGACCCAAGAGTGGGTTTTACAGATTTCTGTCTGCAGGTCTTCTCAGTACAGATCTCAGAGGGGCCCTATCTGCTTAGCTATGGGTTTGAGCTGTTATCTGTTGAGGTTTGCACCTGGATTTAACTTTGGGATGCAAGAACCTGGATTTTCCTGCCTCCTGCATAATTAAATACTGATGGGT